AATAATTCACTTTCAAATAACAACAACTTACCTTCAAATAACAACAACTCACCTTTGAATAACAATAACTCATCTTTGAATAATAACAATTCACCTTCGAATAACAACAACTTACCTTATTCTGCTACTCATATAGATACAAATCAGATTGCTTCAAACATATCTCAAAATATTGCTATTCATATCAACCACCTTATAATAATACTCATGATGATAAAGATTCTTCTGATTCATCAAAAAGTATTTTAAGCATACAAAAAGGGCAGTATCATTTATCACCTGATTTTTTTTTATCAGAGACTTATCCCCTCTCCCCTCTTACTATATATCTTGATCAGGTCTTTATATATAATTTTAAATTTTTTACTCCCTCTTTTTCTAAAAAATTACCTGATTTTTGTCACATTCCAAAACCTTTGTCTCAATAAGTAGAACTAGAAGACAATCCTGACAACCCACTAGCTTTTGACAATCTACCCTTTTGTGAAACAGAACATGTTCTATCGAAAAAGATAGATCTTTATTACCATAGTAGCAAGAAAGATCATGATTATGATTATAGTCAAGATCACAAGATCAGAATCTATCCAATCAGAATCAACTATGCAATCATAGAGGTATATAAATCTTTTTTTATTTTTAACTCTAAATTTGACTATATTTACATTATACTTTTTTTTTTTTTGAAATTTTTTTTTTTTATTAAAACTCTAAGATCATTCTTATTATCACCATTAAGTCAACAAGTGACTGTTTGCTTAAATCTGACAGTTGTATATTTTAATCTGCAAATTAAATAAAAATGTTCAAGAAATTAAAGCCGAGTTGAAGCATCAAAGAAAGAAACAAGACAACAACCTTTCTCCCAAGGTGTTGGATATAAGTGAAGTGCTATATTGAATACTATAGTACAATTATTTTAGTATATAGAATATATTTTTTACTGCCATCTTTTATTTTTTTTTTATAGAAGATATATATAGGTATTGTAAAACATCTTTTCTCAACCAACATCTACTCCACTCAGAAAGAATTAAAGAAAGCTCTAGAATTCTACCTTAACAAAAACTTTTCTGAATACATGCATAACTTAGAATAAATAAATTTAATAACTGTTTTCACAGTAAATAGTATATTCAAATATGTAATAAGTAGTTTTAAATTTTATACTTGTATTCAATCATTAATTGTTAATAATTGTTAATAATTGATTTATTTTTCTAATAGCTTTTTTTATTGATAATTTTTTTGTTTTTTTTTTTGTGAATGGTTATACTTGTAATTAATCGTTTATAATCATTTTATTTATTTTTCCTAATGCACTTTTTATTGATACTAAATTTTTATTT